AAAAACCTATAATCTCAAGCTACGAAGTTTTCTCAGGCACTCAGCCCAAGTGTGCCGTGTTTGGTCACACCCAGGGACCAGGTGCAGGATTATGAGACATCTCGAATGGGTGTATCAAATGAACTCAAAGGTCTCAAACACGTCTAGAAGAATCTTTAAGAGATCGCTTGACCAACGAGAAGCATGTCCGAGAACCAAGCGGATTGGTCGAGCGAGGACGGAGGCACCGAACGTCTGAGACACCCGTGCTGAAGCTGGGATGCATCGCTGCAGGCATCGAACAGACGATCGTACTGAGGTTCGCAAACATCGACGCGGGCGGCGATGGCAAGATCTCCTTGTTTCTGGGCGAAGCAACGCGCGTGCGAGAAGGGCGGAGCGGAACGTGCGCTTTTGATGCTACCCTAGGGCACCCTAGGCTACGTAGGAAAAGCATTGTGCTGGCAGGGTGAAGACCAATGGCCGGCCTGTTCCTCCGGTCACGTGCAGGGGCTGATCCCCCGTGCATGAGGTAGATGACCACGTGAAGCATCAGGTGCCACGGATATTGTTTGAACGGATTGGAGCTGAGTCATGTCATGTCGTGTCATTGGCGCCTCAGCGGTTTCTTAGAGACACACCGGTTGCATAAGCTGAGGAGGAAGCATAAGCAGTGCCAGCATGCATGTCACTGATCAACTATATACAGTAGGGATTATCAGTTTCGGGTTTGCGCTGTTATTCAATCGCTGAGAACTTGATCATTGTTGAATATACATATTTAGAACCAACATGTTCATATTCAATCGACTCGCCAAAAACCAGACGCAGCTTCAAGCCTTTTCTGATGATTATCATTTAGTGGGAATCTGCTGCCCCCTCAATTCTGAGTCTTGGGCCAAGAAAAACCCTTCTTTGCCCAACTTTGGCATCATGAACCAGGCTAGCAAGCAAACCTCATCAGGTTAGATGCCACATTAGAGGCTTTCCACACCAAATCCTTCCAAACCTCATAACGTAAGCCCCGTTGGACCTCGGCCAAACCGTCCCCGCCTCCGAGTTCGGTCCCTACCCCCGCGCTAACTGAGGGCGGAGTTCATGTACTTCGCACGGATGAACCTGAAGCTCAGCGCCTACGACGTAGGGGATATGGAACTGAAGCAGTTCTACAAAGGCGAGGCGACGGAGGGTTGGAACCTCGAGACCCCCCTCGGTTCGAACCTCGAGACCGATGGCATGGCGGAGGAGGGCTCGGAGGATCAGTGCAAACAGGTGGTGAACTCACTCACTCCACGTCACCTATGACCCAGACGCGACGAACCGAATTCATGGGACTGCCGTTTCACAACGGCCGGGAAACGGCCAGGGGTGGTGCCAGGGGGGTCGACCTCTGGGGCGGCAGTCCTATGGCAGTCCCATTAGTCGAAGTTTGGGTGATGATTTCAGAGTGTGCGAAGAATCCAGGGTCACATGAAGACACTCAAGACACTCACACATCCCTTAAGGGAAGAAAAGATGGCATGAACATGTTGCTTTTTGAAAGACTGACTTGGACCCAAACCTGATGGTTCCACTTCCATCCACTTCCATGGCGCGATGAGCATGTGTTCGTCAGAGTCCTGGCTGTTTGGCGGTTTTTTCTGCATGCAAGCCCAAGGGCTACCGAGGTTTGATGGTGTTCAAGGCAGCTTGGGTTTGCTCATCCCCATCAGCCAACCAGAACTCGTGGGGAAGCAATGCTAAAGACCCTTTTTGGCAACGCCTCAATATCCTTGAATCAATGGCAATGGAGTTGAGAGACTCAACTGACCCATGCTGATGGCATTGGAATAGACTTTTTCTCTATAGATGAAGGCTCGAAATTCTGTCAGGATTTTGGACCATTGGAGCATCTTTGCTTGGAACTCGTTTGCGGCATCTCGTGTGCCGTGCTCAAAGCAGAACTTCTTTCTCGAACAGCCTGGGTTTTCAGGAACTCCAGTAGACCTTAGACCTGCTTAGACCTGCAGCGACCGACCTGGTCGACACTGCCAGGTATGGATCCCGATGGCGACGGGGTGGATCCCAAGGAGCGACACAGCTGCGACAGCTAGGGTTTGGCATGCTATGCTACAAATATAATATATATCAATGACACTAATATACCTTCGTTATGCTTTACACTTTTGATAAATTAAGGTAACATCATATTCTACTAGACTATGGCGCCATGGCTATAATGTGGGACTATATAATATATAATTTGAATATATATGTGTTTATTTATTTATTTATTTAAGAGGCTTACGCCTGACAGCCGGGCGCCGGCCAAGCAGGGTGAGGGTTTGTGTGCAACGGTGACGCTAAGCGGGAAGGCAGAAGCGAAAAAAGTTGTCGCGGAGGATGTATGTGAACATAAATTGCGTAACATACTTTTCCACTCTCTCTCTCTCTCTCTTTCTCTCTCTCTGTCTCTCCCTTTTCCTTCACTATTTGCCTCGGTCTCCGTCCCTGTCTCCGTCGCGGTATTAGTCGGTAGTTGTCTCTGTCTCTGCCTCTGTGTCGGCTAAAAGGTTGTGGGGGAGCATCGCTCCCCCACCCTCGCGCAGGACGGGGGCCGGGACTTCGGGCGTCCCGGCAGCGTCCTTCGCAAGAAGGGGGCTGACCGCCCGGGTGCACAGTAAGTGCACCGAAGGTCGGGTGAGCCGTCGAACACAGCCACAGCCAGGCACAGCGTTATGCTTTCTTCTGCTCTGTCTCTTTCAACGTCTCTCCACACCTACAGCAACGTCGACGAATAATTTTAGATAGGGCTATATTCCTCGCACGATCCCCTCGTCCTCGGAAGAGGTAGCGTCGTCCACCACCCGGAGCCAACAAAAGCAGAGAGCGCGTCGGTCTTCCCTCCC